TAAACTAATGACTTTAATTTCGAATATTTCAAAAGATTATTCCGAAATAAAAAGGTCAGAAGATCACCTTGCTACTGTTGATGAGATACTGATATTTCATTACGGAACAATCTCTTGAAATATTCGAAATTAAAGTCATTAGTCTAACTGACGCAATCCAATTCTGAAAAATTATTCTCAAACTTTACCGGTCATACCTTATTACACTGTGCAAAAGACTTGAATCACCGATTGGTCGATGAAAAGCAACTTGGATCGTTTTGTGTGTCAATCATTCGTCATCTTAATGAATTTGAAGCTGTTTCTCATAAGTTTCGCTATTTACTATTGTATTATCTATCAATATATGCTTTTGCGGGTGACATCAATCTTTTTCTTGGATTGATTGTTAAAGTTTACAATGACTTTCTCGCAAACCTACTCACAATCCTCGGTTTCTTCATTTTGCTATCTTCTCTTGCTTTTAGTTTAATTTTTGGCGATTTTATCTCACAGGTAATTTAGATTCGATATTGGTCAATATTTCATGCATTTGAAATTGTTTAATTCTTTTAGGTGAATATGTTAACAGTTAAACTGCACCAAATATCCACCAAGAACAGACTTACGATGGGCTCAGCAAACAAGGTAAGTTTTGATAAGAGCTAAAGTGAAAGTGACTTCTCAAAACATAATCCAAACTAAATCACAAGCTAAAAACATAACTCGAAACTTGTAAATGATTTGCATTTCATCTTTTTTGTGCAGCTTTTGGAGGTAATGGATCGAGCTGCCGGGCCTTACAATGGCATTAAAATCGGAGACTTTGTCACTCTTAAGAAAAGCTTTGCCATATCGGTAAGAAGAGTTAAGATGTCAACTTGATCAAAGTGTTTATTCTGTTTCTTCTAGTTTCTCTTAGAAAACATATCAATTTTAATGCTATTCATTTGCAACATTGGACCTTATTTAGGATCTTATAAAAGTTCAGCCTAAAAATCAAAGTCGTATCAACATGCATCAAAAAGCGTTGTTTCTTCGTTCTTTCTGGGTAAATCTTAAGCATGATGATGTATTTTGAGTTTCAGTCGTTTATAAATGTTATTTACGCTTGACATCAAGCCTCTATTATTCTCTGTTAATCTCAACAAGATTTTTTAATTTGAATCATTAATAATCTACAGAACCATTGAAAATAATACATGAAATTACTTTAGACGAAGACAAAAAAGAATAAAGAAGACGAAATGCAAACGAATTTCCAAAATTTTCATTGTCTTCTCCATTCCTGACACTGTCTGATTTATTCTTAACGGATTCATTTTCATGTGTCTTTTTCATTCTTTTAATCATCTTGTTGATTCCAGAAAAAGTGGTTTCCTGTAGTTTTTATAAAAAATTATCAATCAAAACACAAAACTAATGAAAACAAATGCAAGTCGGAAAAGGAGGAAAAATAATCTCGATTTTGCTCGAAAAATTAACATTACAAGACCAAATGAAAAGCTAAAGCTTGTAGCTCCATGAACAGAATGCAATATCTTGGAAAAAGAGAAAAGATAAATTGCAGATTAATTCATTGAAAACCAATGATAATATGATTACCGAGAAAAACTTTCGTACAGTAAATGATTAGTTGAAATTGTGTACTAAACGATATCAAATAGGAAACTAATAATCATCTTGATAATGTTAATAATGATATTTATAAGTTTTCATGGTTTAGTCTGTTCAAGTTGAAGGCAAGAAATGTTCAGAACTTAAAAGAAATATATTTATAAAAAGTAATATCACTCCCAGTTTAGTGTAAATTTTTATAGTTATTACCATTATGATTCGCCATGAAACAAATGGGCTTCATGAAGCAATGTTTTCGTCTTTTACCTTTTGTTCCTTCTGTTCAAGCATACACTCACATGTATACATAAATATATATATATCAATACTGAATCTCAGGGGAAACACAAAAATGAGACTTACTAAGGTGTGTGTGTGTGTGCAGCTCATTGTTGCCTGGGTTATTCAACTCACATAGAGCTCATAACTTTGAAAGTTGCACAAAAGGGCAAAAGGTATTAGTAGACAGGCAAAGAGAGTCACACTTACAGGGAAAAGTTATAATGCTAATAGCAAGTGTGATGCTTATTATTCTGTATGAATGTGTAACCAAAATATGAGATTGGGACAGGAAAATATAACAGTCTAACCATCCATGTTAACTCCTAGTCCAAGTGAATAAAGTCACTTACTCATTCAATGGCTTTCCCATCGCCCCAATCATTTATCCTCAATTTTTCTTCCTCTTCTCTCTTCATGTCAATTTCATGGCTAATAAAATGTTTACCAACGAGTTTTCCAAATGCATTTGTTGCTCTTTTTCCGAGTTATTCAACCTTTTCAACTCTTTCACTTTTGTCCAAGTTTTACTTCTTCACAGTTTCTGGTCAGTTTCATCTCTACTTTTGTTGAGCCAAAAATTGAAATCCATTTTTAGATGGAAATTCATCTTTTCAGTAAAATTTTCTTCTTCGTCTTTTCTTGGTAACTGTTTGTATACATTTTGTACACACTAATTGATAACTGGCTTGTGATGAATTATGTTATTGCTTTTTGTTTGCTGGCTTTTGGGACTTGCAAAGTGGCAACATTTGAACACTCATTTACAGTTATGTTTTACTAAGAGATGGAATTTGCATGAGAATATAAACTTTTTTTTCTTTTGAATTTTCATCTTTTTTTACTTCTTTTGCAGTTACCAATGAAAAATAATCTCATCTTAACACGTAAAATGAAAATTGCTGCCTTTACCTTCTTTTGCCTTCTCTGTGTTATC